ACACAGGGTTTCATGGACATTGATTTAAACAAATTCAAGGAAAGTGGAGCAAATGTGACAGGTTTCCAGTTGGTGAACTACACAGATACCATCCCAGCCAAGATCATGCAGCAGTGGAAGAATAGTGATGCTCGAGATCACACCCGAGTGGACTGGAAGAGACCTAAGGTGTGGGGATGGGCACAGGCAGCAGACTGATCCTGTTGCCTACTCCAGATTTCTGCACAGTGTCAGATTTTCGATAAGGCTGAGTTTCCTAAGAGGAAGGAGCTAGGGAAATATATCCATAAAGATTGAGGGTGCAATGATCAGACAAGCCGGGATGACAATGGTTTTAACAAGATAGACATTTTGTTTTTCTCTCATATAAACAAAATTCAGAAGCCAGCAATCCAGGCCTCATATAAGGGCTCCACAATCATCAAAGGCTTCTTCTACCTTCTTGTTCTGCTAGCCTTAGCATATGGAAGCTACCTTATAGTTGAAAAGGGCTGCTGAAGCTAGAATCGTCACCTCAGAATTCTACCCAGCCGGGAGGGGAAAACAAAAAGTGTGATGGCTTCCTTTAAGAACCCTTTTCGGAAGTCACACACAGATATTCCACTCACATGCTACTGGACACATCTTAGAAGCCTAGCCCTAGCGAGCTACAGGGGAAGCTGAAAAACTGATATCTCTATTCTGGGCAGGGCCCCCATCTTGCACAGCTCTGGGGGGATGCCGTCTGCATTCATTACTTTGTGGATTGAGCCTCCTTGAGTTGTGCAGTGAGCTAGCCCTTATTCTGGTCAGCCATGCATCCAGCTGAAAATCAGGGAAACCTAAGTGATATCAAGCACTTCTCTACCTCAGAGAGTCAACTCCCAATTACCATGCAGACTATCTGCCGCTCACGTCCTAGCAATGCAGCTCTAAATCCTGCAGCCAAATTCTACTTTGTTTGCTATCTGATAATGGTTTAGAATAAGGATAGCAGGTAATTTTTCTTTCCCATGTCAAATCCAATAGCTTGGCAGTGGCTGTGTGGAACACTGCGTTGAGAAGGATTCTGAGGCCAAATTTGTTTATCTGGGCCAAACAGTGAATCCTTTGTGACTTACTCTTGTCACTAGGTCAATTTCTTTCTGTGAATGGCAGGCCATTTAACTGAGATGTGTCTCACCCCACTTTTCCTCAAACTGACTTAGCAATTCAAAATGAAGACTTCTTGCAATATGAGTTTAAGCAAACAAAACCACAAATGGGCTTCGAAGCCATGAACAAACCACATAGCAGTTAATGAATTAATATATAAATACCGCACCCAATTTTCAAAGGATTGGAACAGATTACGAAAATAACCAAATGTAATGTACATACTTTTCAAATGTGAAAGAATCAAAGTTAAAAACTAGAAAAGTGTGTATATATTCATTCTATAACTCTCTCTACTGTGAACTTCGAATGTACCAGAGAACATGTGAGGCACTGGGGACAAATTAATGAAGACTAGAGATGTGAGTTCCAAAGCCAGGAAATATTGTCTTAGACTGTTATCCTGGTTTTGTTTCATCAACATTTTAGCCCCCTTATAGGCAAGAGGGGGAAAAATTGAGAGTTATCATGAATGAGCACAGGGGAATCTTTGCATGTAAACCTGCCACCTGAGTGAGCCACATATGGAAATAATTAAGTGCTTACCCTTCTTGAATTATTTTTTTTCTTTTACTGTCACAAGGGATGGTAAACAGTTCCTCTTAGTTCTCAATTGGTGACTGTGACACAGAGAAAATCAACTATTTTTTTCATGGACTGGATACAGATGTGTTGAATTTAATCTATGCATTCTTTTTATTTTTTCCAATTAAGCCAAAATTTTAAAATTGCAAAATTGGACACAAAAATCTAGAACTCTGGCTTCTCTTCCAAAGACACAACCAGCAATACTGAATTCACAATCTGAGAGGGCAATATTGGCTAGCAAGGTGTAGCACCAAACCCCATCTAAGGGGCAGGCACTTCCTGGTTCAGCACTACCCCCCACTCTCTATACCTGGCTCACTGCAGGCATTTTCACCACCAGAAAGCACATTCCCGGATACAGCTCCCACCTGTCTCCCTGTCAGCTCCCTCTGACACTTAATCGTCTCCATTCCTCCTACCAGTACACCTCTGCGCTCACCTACGATGGGGTGAAGGTGATGGCTGAGGCGTTCCAGAGCCTGCGGAGGCAGAGAATCGATATATCCCGCCGGGGGAATGCTGGGGACTGCCTGGCTAACCCAGCTGTCCCCTGGGGCCAGGGGATCGACATCCAGAGAGCTCTGCAGCAGGTGAGGACGGCAATGATGCCGCTCTTATGGGAACCTCATAGGGGAGTTCAGCATCTGTTTTATGTGGAATGTAGCTACTTAAAAGAAAAGGCAGAGTATGCCTGAAGTTTGGATGGTCACTGCACTGTGTTTGTGGCTCTTGGCATACATGGAAGCTCATGTCGAAATCGAAAACAACAACGACAAAAAAAAACAATAGAATGGAACAGTTGTTAGTGTAAAAGCTGTATTTTCTACTTAGGGAATATGCAGAAAAAGGGAAATCAGTGATTCTATATTTCGAAAGGAGACTTAAAATACACAGGGATGAAGCCAAACCATTTTACGAGTCTCCTAGGAACTCTCCCCTCTTGGCCTGGGTTTCAGGATGTCTTCACTACCTTTGCTCTCTGTGAACGTGTCATGAGGTGGGCCTGAAAATGTGTCTTTACTTGTGATCCTATTTTCTTGCTCCAGCATTACAATCATCAATTTTGTCTGCACTTAAGAACAGTTAAAGAGCAGGGACAGAAAATGGTCATGCCCACTCCAATCAATTGGCTGTGCAAAGAATTCTGAGGCCGAATCCAGATTCAACAGAGAAGGGTATAAATAACCAATTAGTAATATGTCTGCTGTAGAAGCAGGATGAGAAAATGATACACGTGGGCTGTGTATCTAAGATCCCTGGTTTAGAAGATTCTGGGGATGTGCTGTCGGCTTTATCACTCTCACAGCTCCTAGAAGTCTCTTTTAATCTCTAGAAGTCTCTAGAAGCACCTCCAGACCAGGGTGTGATTCTGAAACTGCAGACAGACAGCACCATCTGATGCCTCTGACGCCTCCTGATTCAGAGGTTGTATTTCCAAAGGGGACTGGGCAAAGCAGGCATGCTTCCTGTAGAGGAATGTCGAAATATCAAGCCAGCAACCCCAAGGGATTTTGGTGCAAATGCCCTCAGGACCTGCCCTCTCCTTCCGGTAGAGTTGCCTGGATAAGACTAGCTCTACTTTCAAGATTACATTCAACAGATGGTGAATTTGGGCTCCTGGGGGAGGAGAGGAACATTTCTGAATGAGATAGAAATGTAGAGCAAAATGTACAACTATTCCCATTTGTTTTCCAACCACACGTGCACAGCCCTAGCAATTTTCACAGCCTGGAGAAAGAGACGAGAAAGGAACATAACCCGCTGTTCCTCCGCCCAGATGAGGCGCCTTTACGCGGAGAACATGTAGCTCTGTCCTTTGGAATGAAGCTAAGCAGCAACCCTGTGACTACAGGAGGAACATGCTAAGGGGTCCCCCAGCATCCCTTTCCACCCTCCCCCCGGCTCCATGCAGAATGGCCCTGAATCACTTCGCAGGCAATAGCAGACACCAGGCAGCTTTCAAGTGGTTGCCAAAGGTGCAGCGCCTGCTGGCTGGCTTATTTTAAATGCTCTTCCAGACTCCACAGTCGAGACAGATTCTATTTGCAATGTGAGACTGGTTTCAGAAGGTCTCAGGCACTTGCCCTCGGCTTCACAACCCTTTCAACTCCCTCGCCTCTCCCATCTTAATGATGTCCCTGGATGGATGTTCTGACGCCACCAGGACAGTCAAGAAGTCTGGGAGTCAACACGGGTGGAGGGAAAGGCTCTGACCAGGAGGCAGGAGAGCTGAGTTCAAAATCCAGCTGGGTCCCTGGCTCTCTGGGTGACCTTGAAATACCCATTCGGTTCTCCCACAGACTTCCCTTTCCTTATTCATGACAGTGAGGAGGTAGGAGAGAGGACTCCTGCATCTCAACCGGCTCTGAGAATTCTCAGGATCTGTTTTTTGTTTTTGTTTTTGTTTTTTCCTTATGGTATAACGCAGGTCCCTCTGGTTGTAATATATACTTATTCTTCTGCTTCTGCCCTCAGTGGGGTTTTCGGGGAGCTAGTTATCTTAGTCAAAAGAATAATGACCTTTTTTACATTGTCTTAGAGTCAAGACACATGTGCCTGCCACTCCAGCAGCCAATCAGCTGCTCCTCGAGAGCATGCCCTGGCGTAGGCCAAGTACTGGGGACATTTAAGAGAAGGCAAGACCTGCCCTCAAGAATATCCCTTCAGTCTCTTTTGTGGGGTGTGGATGAGGGAACTAATTACAGAAACTAAAACAAAAACAAAACCCAGCATTCTGACTCTAAGTTCAGCTGTTCAAACTGATGCCTTTTCAGAATCTTTGTTACGCATCTAGAATCACAAGAACTTATTGCTGAACAAGGTTTTAGAGATTAACGACTCCCATTTTTCCTTACTTTATAGCCAGTCCAGAGTGGGCAGTGACTTATCCAGGGTCACACAGCAGCTTAGCAGCAGGGGCTGAACCAGACCCCCATCCAGGGCTTGCCCTCCTGCCCCAGGCCTGTCTGATGGCCCCAGGGGCCTTTGCTTGTACACATCGACCTCTGAGACCTTCCACATACAGCCATGGCCACTGTCTGTGCTTTTAGTCTTCTAGACCCATCCCTTGAAATAGCCACACCACTAGGGAACAGTGTCATTAGGATTTACCCACAGTGGGCTGGGTAAATCCTAATGACATTCAGCCCTTAGAACCCAGGGTCGGGGTCTCTGCTGCCCTGACTACTGGCCTTTGGGTCACACATTGGGAAGGTACCTGTGCTTTAGCTTGTCTTAGGGCTGGGATATCTGTGAGTTAGGTCTTGAGCCCCAGCACCACCTACCTGGAGGACTGGGGATTCAAATTCTAAAAATAATGGTAATACCAGTTATGATGTGTTACGGCCTTACTATGTATAAGGCTCTAAACATACTTTCCATGTTTGAGCTCACTGAATCCTCAATATAACACTGCGAGGTAGCCAGTTTTATTAATTGTGCTCTATAAATGGAGAAACTGAGCTTCAGAGATGTTAAAAAACTTCCCAAAATTATACAGCAACTTAGTGGTGATGCTGGGACTGCAAACCACATCTGCTTGCTACCTCACTCTGTACACATAACTATTTGGCTCTGAAGCCTGGAAGCGCCAGCCCAGGGGAGACACAAGAGCTGTGGCCCAGCCAGCCACAGCACATGGCCTTGGGTAATGTCCATGCACCCCCACCCGCTATAATTTCCCCAACAGCAGAGTGGAGATAATCAGATGCCTGCCTGACCCCTGCCTGACATCCAGGGAGCCTTTCAGAATATTAATGAGCTCACATCCTGGAAGCCTTTAGCGCTCCAAGAAGGAGAAAGCATCAGGGTGCCCATGTGCCAGCTTCTGGCTAGCAGAGAAAACTCAGCACCCCAAATCGGGGTTAGTATTTGGGGGCCATAGGCCCTTTGAGGATATGATTAAAAAAAGCTTTGGACTCTTTCTCCATATAGATGTAGATGTAGATATAGGTATAGGTATAGATAATATAGATATAGATGATATAGATATATAGACAGCCATCCATTTTCTTTTGTGCGTGCCTTATCTCCATTCCCCTTAGAGAATCTAGATCTTTGAATCCTTCACTTTTCAGTCATTGTTATCTCTAGATATGCATGACCTAGAAGACCATCCCAGGACTTCAGGTGAATGTACTCTAAATCAGCAGTCCCCAAACTTTTTGGCACCAGGGACCGGTGCTCCTATGAGAATCTAATGCCTGATGATCTGAGGTGGAGCTGAGGCGGTGATGCTAGCACTGGGGAGCAGCTGCAAATACAGATGAAGCTTTGATCTGATCACTCACCACTCACCTTCTGCTATGCAGCTTAGTTCCTAATAGGCCTAAAAGACTGGTACCCAGCCCACAGCCTGGGGGTTGGGGACTCCTGCCCTAAATGATGACTCTCCCAGTCTTTGCATTTGTAATCTGTCAGCCAATGACCAAGCATATCAAATGAAGATATGCCCAGCACTTTGCTAGATGAGGTCTGGGGTAAGGTGGACAGTAGGGGTGTAGGACAGTCCCTGCCTTTCAGGACTCAAGGCCCAATTTCGAAGGGAAGACAAATTCCTGAGAAATAATAGCTACGAAGGTGTGGATGAAGGCCTAAGTAACGGCCTGGCTCTCAGTGCTATGGACGGTCAGAACAGAATGCCATGATTAAGGAATGTGGACAATGTGGAAGGAGACCAGGGCTTTAAAGAAGGTGACCATATAATTTATCATCCAAACTGGGATATCTAAGAGTGAAAGAGAGAGCTATTATCAACTATTCTGGAACAAAAAACATAGACCGGAACTATCCAAGCTAACAGACTAAAGGAAGAGTGAAGGTGACTTTGAACAAGAGTGAATCAGGCTCTGGAGGGTCCGAGTGAGGATGTACGTGAGACCCAGCAGGAGACTGGAGTGAGGGTATGAGCAGGGACTGTGGGCATCATGCTCAGCCTTTGAGGGAGCCGGGAAGAGAAGAGCTGGTTTCTAACCAGGGCTCTATCAAGCGCTATCTGGGAGACCTTGGCCTAATCACTCAGCTTCTCTGACACTGATTTCCTCTACTACTAAATGGACATAATCCTCTTAGAACTGCTTCCCTTACTGGCTTGTCACAGGCTCAAAAATAAAACAAAAAAAAATACAAAAAAAAAAAAAAAACATAATGAGCTTCTTTGAACCTCAGGGCAACAGTGTGAGATAGTTAAGAGCCAAGATGATTCTTCTCTGGGAAAATGGATGCTCAGAGAGATCCTGAGACTCGCTCTTGCAAGCATAGCAAGAATGTTGTCCCCTGGGATTTAGCCCAGAGGCCCTGATTTTCTACCCAGTGAGCTTTCAGGATGAGAGGCCAAGAGAAGAGATTTATCTGAAGGCATCCATAAAGAGGGAACAGAAGGCCTGGCCCAGAGCAGCCCTGCTGCCTCCCCAGGGATGGGGTGGAGGAGTTATCAGTGTTGACGGCTCAAGTAGCAGAAACAACAACCAGCACTGTCCCAGAACTGGGCAGGAAAGGAGTTATGCTTGAGCAGCCGGGACTCAGAGCTGCACCCAATGCCATTTACAGGAAACCCAAGGTTAGTTCTCCCTCTCTCACAGAAGGAGTTGGCAGGCACCAGGAGGCAAGATCTGAAGGAAAACTCCAGGTCTCCATCAGTCTGAGCCCAGTCACTCCAGGCAGTAGGTGACAGGCGGATGAGGTCCAGAGACTCAGCTCTAATAGATAGTACAGCAGTTTCCAGATGTGCCAAAAGCAGATGTTTCTGAGAAGCTTCTTCCTCTGACTATGAGTCCGGACCATCCACATAAATTGTTTGGGGCTGAGCCACTGAATTGACCTTTCCTTGCTCTGGCATCGTGGAAAGGTCATTCTGGACTGTCTCTTTTCCCAGGCTTCGATTTATCTGAAAAATGTTTATGTCTTGGCTTCCCCAACTAGATAGTAACAGCTCTCGGCTGCCCCAGACCTCTCATGAGATACTGTGGATCCTGAACCCAAGTGCCATAAGCTCTGAATCTCAATAATCCTATCTGTAAAAGAGGCAAAATACTTCTACATGTGCTGCTCACTGTGTTTCTGTGAACATCAAATAAGCGGCTTGTTGTAAAAACACTGTGATAATGCAAGGGGCCCTCAGGTCACTAGAATTTTGCTGATAATGTTTTTTTTTAGAAACTGAGAAAAGCATGCAAAAGCAGTAGTGACAAGACCCTCATTTCTGCTAAAAGAGTCCCCTGCTCTGAGACAATTTACTAGACCCAAGCCTTCAATGCTTAGTCTTATTTTCCATACCTCTTAACCTTATCATCATCATCTAAATAACATATATTATGCATTGAACATTGATGTCCCAGACAATATGCTAAGCATTTCCATTCTTCGAGAAGTAGACCAAGAAACACATAGGCTCAGTGATTTGCTCATGGACACGTAATTAGAAATTAACAGACCCCAGCCTGGGAAAGGTCCAGCTGGAATAGTAGGTGGCAGTGGGTGGCACACAGAACACGCTGCCTTGCACATTTCTGTGTCACCCACTTAGAGTCTAGCACAGTAGTATTGTCCCCTGTTTGAGAGGTTACTTGCTACCAGAATGTGTCAGAAGCTCTGGATTTTAGGCTGCCTCTGACACTTAGAAGTCATAAATCTTGAGCAAATCACTTTACCTCCCAGAGTTTTGGTTTCTCTCATGTAAGTGAAGATTATGATCTCTAAATGGCACACTTCAGGGAGTTCCTGTGGACAGAGGTGAAGTAATATGCATGAAAGTACTGCATAGAGATGGAACACTTGGAAAGTGATGGTAATATTAATATCACTGTTAGTAACAACAATAACAACAGCTGGCCTTGGTCAAATACTCAGGATGAGCCAAGCATTGATCGTAAAATATCTCATTTCATCCTTAAAATAACCTTAAGACATAGTTAACTCTAATTGCCCTATTATACAAATGAGAAAACAGTCATAGCTACAGTATGTGATTTGCCATATTAATATGCTGTGCTGATAATTAGTATGATACTGGAGGCCAGGACTGAAAGGTAAAATGCCTGTTTGGATCCTTAATGACAGTTCTTTCTGTCTGGACAAATCAGTCTGTCATCCAGTCATCCACGCATCTATCTATCCCTTCTGTTTTTCCAAATGAGTAACGTAAACTGGTATTTAGAAACCTTACCTTGAACCTGAACAAATGGGAGAGCTAAACATGGGCAAACGATGACCACAGTGAGAAGAAGGTGAGGTTGCTAACAGATTGCAATTGCTCCCTTTTTCTTATTCTTTGCAGCAGAATCTGTGATTTGTTTCCTCTCTGAAAAGCAAAGCCAGCCTAGACTTTTCCAGAGTGAGGATTTCTCCAGATTTCACCTGAGAGAGTGAAGAGCTTGTCGTAGATTTTGTTCAGCTCTCCGGGCCTGTCATGGCCTCCCCACTGAGACTTCAAACCAGAAGGTGATGGAAGGGTCAGCCTCAGCCTCAGAGCAGACACACACACTCTCCTCTCCCCTCCTCTCCTCTCTCTCTCTCTTTTTCTCTCTCTCTCTCTCTCACACACACATCAGCTATTCTTATACCTTCTGAAGGCAGAGGAGCTTCTCACTGTCAGAAAAAGATAAAACCCTGCAAGCCTTCCTTTTAAGCTCTTTGAAGAGGGGGGAAATAAACAGCGCTGAATTATGAGGCCAGGTTCATATTGGTTACAGGTAAAGACTCATCTCACTGGCCTTAAGCCAGCCCAATAGGTGATGGAAGGGTCAGCCTCAGCCTCAGAGCAGACACACACACTCTCCTCTCCCCTCCTCTCCTCTCTCTCTCTCTTTTTCTCTCTCTCTCTCTCTCTCTCACACACACATCAGCTATTCTTATACCTTCTGAAGGCAGAGGAGCTTCTCACTGTCAGAAAAAGATAAAACCCTGCAAGCCTTCCTTTTAAGCTCTTTGAAGAGGGGGGAAATAAACAGTGCTGAATTATGAGGCCAGGTTCATATTGGTTACAGGTAAAGACTCATCTCACTGGCCTTAAGCCAGCCCAATATGAGGACACACCATCAGTCACCATTAGGAAATGTGGTTTCTTGGACTTGAGCCAATGATATGCGTTAGACTTATCCCCAGTTTGAGGGAGGCCTAAATGTCTTGGATCACCCATCAGGACCACTTGACAATTCACTATGAGCTCGAAGATATAAGGCCATAAGAGTGTGATTTGAATCATTCATGGAGAAGAAATCCATGCAGCATATTTGGGGGTTCTAATACAAATTTTGTTTTAACCAACTGAAACCTGTTTAAAGCTCTACCTGCTCTGGTCTTACCATAAAGGGTTCTCTCAGGTGATTTTAAGTTTTCACAGTGCATTCATGTTTGCTGTGTCATTTGAGGTTGATAGGGCAGGAATTTTGGAAAGTGGAGGCCTAAAGAGGTCAATCACCCCAGGTCCCTCTCGGCTATTCAGAAGAGAGCTGGGATAAACTTCAGATCTCCAGGTCTTTAGATTCCCAAGGACTTTATTCCCTGGCCTCACAAAGGAATGAAGAAACGATATTTGAGTAGAGCCCAAGGCATCCTAAGGCTGGCTTCCGGTTCTGGGCCTTCTCCTGACTCACCAGGGATGGCACGCCAGCACCGGCTCCTTTCCTTAGCAGGCCTTCGTCAGTCTCCCCAGTTGGAGGTGTGCGAGAAATGACGGTTCTCATGGTGGCAGTCATGATGGGGGTGCTTGATTGGGGATGGAACAGAGATTTCTTATTAAGACCTACTTTGATCCATTGTTACTGTTCGCCTAAAGCAATGAGTGAAAAATGTTTTCAGGATAAATCTCAGTTTAGTAGGAAAGAGACCGGTGCTGCAGTAGTGATGCCTGCTATGCGTGCAGGGGAGTTGAGAGTTTTTTAGCATGGATGCTACTCCAAGGCCTCATCCCATGTCATATCCTTGGGTTCCAGATTTTCACTTCGGCGAAAGGGCAAACAGGCCAACGTGAAGTGTAACTTCTGAGTTCACTGTTCACCATTTGGCTTTGTTTTCCAGGTGCGGTTTGAAGGCTTGACAGGAAATGTACAGTTTAATGAGAAAGGACGCCGGACCAATTACACCCTCCACGTGATTGAAATGAAGCATGACGGCATCCGAAAGGTAAAGGTCCCCATTGAGTCCATTGCAGAGGAAGGAGAGGGCCGCGCGGAGGCTCAGGCAAGCTGAGGGCCTTGGGAGCACACCTTCCTGGACTGGATCTCTCTGAAGAGACTCAGCCAATGACAATTCCAGAGTAGGCTCTGCCACTGACCCTCTGGGACCTGGGGCAAGTCAGTTCTTTTCTTTGAGAATTGATTCATTCATCTGTAAAATGGAGATAAAAATCTCGACCTTTGTCTCAGAATCCAAGGGATGAGAATGTCCTTGGAAAATATAAAGTAATATATGCATATAAAGTGCTTCTGCTGTTCTTGAGGGATTCTGAGGAACTTGAGAATGATGATTATTGATGAAGTTAACCATCCTGTCCTATTTCTCACTTGGTCACATCTACTACATTTTCCATACATAAATAGGAATGAAAAGTATATTTGTGTATGTATATAATATATAATATATATGGATATTAAATTTTTAGAATACCATTCAAATCTTTGGAAAAAACATTCAGAATTTTATCAGATCCTATGTGCTCTGGCCTCTGCCAATGTCTCTGAACTTGAGCCTTGACACTCACTTTCTTCCTCTTCAGCCATTCTGATCAACGCTCACTTCCTTGAGTACACCATATTCTTTCTCACCTCTTCTGCCTAGGCCTCCCTCCACCCCACCCCCTTCTTTTGCCTGGCCAGGATTTAAGTCTCTGCTTTACTCTTTACTAGGCATGTGACTTTCAGCAAGCTAATTAGCCTCCCAGGACCTCAGTTACATCACCTCAAAAAAGGAGATGATAACCTTTACCTCACAGGGGTGCTGTCGGAGTTAAATGAAACAATGTCTGCTACTCCCATTGCCTATAGCAAGGAATTCCCAAAAGTAGCACCTAATATGTAATGGATATTCAGCCTACATTTTGTTTGTCCATCTGTTTGTTCATTTCAACTCCATTCTTTAGGCCACAGAGATTTTTTTTTTTTTTCAGTCAGCCTTGAGTTTGAGTGAGTCAGGCTGTACAAGCACATGGAACAGATAAATCACCAAACAGAAAAAACAAAGTAACCTTAAAATCCATGAGCAAATGGTTGTGCTTTATTTTTCTGACCCCAAGGCTGTCTTCCAACTTACTTTCCAATGACTAAATCCGTTCTTAGAATGTGGGCTTAAGCATCCTTTGTTTACAGGGGATCTGACTTTCAAAAAATCAATTTCTCCACATCTGTGGCTTCAGACCTTTTCTTCAATCAGCCTCCTAGCAAAGTAATTCCTCAGATTCAAGGGCAACCTCGTTGCGCTGGCTTCAGTGAACATTACATAGCCTTACCTGATGGAGGTGATAAAGAGGAGCTGCTGCTTCTTGATTCGGAGCCACGAGAATGCTCTCCTGATCATCAGGGCACATCCCGCCCACTGATAGGCCAACATACCCTCTAGGTATCTGGGTCCAATTTGACATCCCACTGAAATGTGTGTGCTCTGAGCATCCATCCATCATATATTTAGGAGCTCTGAATGCCAGAATTGGCACTGGCTTTACTGAAGATAAATCCTCAGGAAATTCAGAGATTCCATTTCCCTGTGGGGTGCTAAGGTATAGAGATCTCTCATCAAACAAAATACCTTGTCAAATTCAGGTAGAATTATAAATTCTGACAAATGGCTGGTGAGGGAGAAATGTAG